AGATACTGTAAGTAAGGGTCCATTTATCTGAATTTGACAGTTTGCGTATAGATGAAGATAGTAGTGCTACGTGGTATAATTTGACTTATTAGACATAAATAAATATAAAAAAAATGCCTATTATAAACCCAAACATGCTCTTGAGCAACTATGGATTTGTTGATAAATGTATTATTCGACAATTTATGTGTCTTCTTGCCTATTTAAATATAACATTAACATCGATGACGACACCCTAAATGGCGCGCGAGTGAATTTCTAGAGGATTGGCGCAACAATGATGTGCTTTCGATTGCAAATGCCTATAATTAAATGAGCCATGAATTGGATTAAGCGCGACAAATATGCGTGAAATACCAGTCACAATGAAATAACAAAAACAGTGTAAGTAAATTAAGAAAACTGAAGTGCGCTCGAGCGAATCGCAATGAAATTGAAAGCGACAGTGCAGAGACGCCCAAAAAGCGAAAAAAATCGAAATCAGAACAAATTCGTTGAGTGCTAGGCAACAAAAATTGAGAACAGCTAAATAAACCCCATGAAAGGGTTACGGTTTACGAAAGCCCAAATTAAAAAGAGGATATTATCGACCCAACCCATAAAAATGGCAATGCTTCAGCTGCAGCATGATCGTGGTGATTGCGCGGAGTGCGAAAGCGAATGCGCAGGCTTGTGGCGACATTAATCCATGCAAAAATTCCAAAACAAAAACTTGAGCATCTCATGGCAACAACTGAAAGCTATGGCTATTAACAATAACAAAATCAATGTAAGAGATCGAAAAACGAACTAAAGTGAATCCAAGAACAACAATAAGTGGTCTTTATACTGCACACACATGCTGGCGGTTCCACCAACAGACACTGACAGCAAAATCCCGAAAGCATGGCAGTGGACAGAACGTCGAATTGGGGTTGCCAGTATGAGTGGCAAAAATGTTGTTGTCACTTGCGTGGTTGACTGACTGCGACGTCGACTGGTGCGCAAAAGCACTGACGGGCTGAAGATCCAGAGAGTCACACGAGCTGAAGGCGTAGCGATGTGGCTGCGTAGGGCGCTGAAAGACGCACAATCAGGCACAGAAGAAGAAGAAGAATAGGCAGACTTCCAGCGACAGCATAAGTTATGATGTTTCTAAAATAAGAATGTGATCATTTACGCAAAAACGCCTCGAAAGAGGGACTCAACAAATAAAAGGGCGCACTACAAAATAGCAACAAATAAAGTGTGGCGCAGAAAAAGGCGAAATGAATGTGGAACCAATGAAACGGCTAATGGGCACTGGAGTACATAAAAATGCGTCAGAAGTGGCGCTGAAACATTTTGCGTTCGAGCGTGTGGCGTGAAGGGGGGTGCTGAAACCAAAAAAGCAGCCGATCAAACGAGCGACTGACTTTTAACGAGTTTCCCTAACATAATCACATGTTTAGCACAGTCTTTTGGGTAGTCCACATATGTATGCTAGTTGTTTTTGTTTCAACGCAATGCTGTGTTGCAGCAACAACATTCACAGCATCACTGTGGTTCTCTGCTGCCGCCGTCAGCGAAGGAGTGCCGCCATGCGTGTTCTGGAGGTCATGTGGTCGCATACATTAAGTGTGAAATTTATGTGTGAGCTGCGTAAGGGATAAAAGAATGACATGCACATGTTTGAATGGTTGTAAGCTATGGTTAGGGACACAACAACAAGCCTGCAATGCGGATTACAACAAAAAATGTGTGAAAATGCATGTGCGTACGTTAATTTATGCGCTGTTTCGTAAATATTCATGGAAGTGAAGTGGAGAATAATACTATTTATATTATAAATTTTATATTATAAATACTAAATTGTTAGAATGAAAGTCTTCAATCGCTGCAGAAAAGCCTTTTTGGAATTAACAAAATTTTGAGTTTCATTATCTTAATAGGCAGAGGAAGAAAGTGAGGACGAACAAGTGTGTTCTCTCCAAGGTTAAGGAGTTATTATATCCATTTGAGAATTAAAAAATAAAATTTTTGCTTATATTATATATCAAATGTATATATATATATATCATATATTTATTTGAAAATACTGCCTGAAATTTTGAAGTTGATCCAGAAAATATAATAGTTAAATATACAAATAAGAGTATTTCTAAGATTTTTTAACTTCGAGTAGTCGTCTGCCAAACTTTAAAGGGATTTTTCACGAAACTATGATTTCAGAATCGGTGAGAAAATATTTTCAGAAACGGCTGGACCGATCGTCTAGAAATTTTCACAAGACCTTCATAGATATATTTGTCAGTTAATGATAGTAGAAATAAAATTTTGGCAATAATTTAAAATTTTAAGATACTCGTTTTTTCACAAAAAACTACTTTATTTTGGTAAGTCGCTATTTTGTTAAAAATCAATATTTTGACAGGTATTTCGATCATTGCCTCCATTCATGTATGCTCATAAAAAATATTTTGATTTTTTGGATTTGAGGTAATTTTTAGCAATAAAATCTTAATTACCGCCAGACACCTTTTTTCAAGTCCTGGAGATCGGCTACGGGTTCAAGGGGATCCAAGTTTTTTGAAAATGAGTGAAAATTTAACATTAGACACCTCGAGAACGAAGAATTTGACAAAGTTTGTTGGAGTGCTTAAGGACAGGTAATTAAAAATAGTATTCAGCGTTTAACGCTAACCAAAACATGTGTTCTATCGTGACTGAGGTTGATGCATAGTGAAGTTGGTGGGTTTTCGTTTACAAACTATCAAAGCTCCTAAGAAATCTTAATAAAATAATATTATTCGACAAAAAATTTAAACAGTGAAATCAAAAATACAGTTACAGAAGTTTTTGGACCTTTTCATAGCTATAGGATTTATAGTCTTTATGTTATCTTAACCAAAACTTTAATAATTTACTTATGAATTTTTATTGAACATGTGCTAATGAGTCATATATTCGCGTTATTCCATAGAAACGTGACAAGTTTGGAAATTTGGAATATAGCACAGCACAAATGAAAAATGAGCAAGAATATAAAAATACATTTTTCAACGCCACAAAACCGACAAGGCACAACATTAACGCCTAGAATACCGTCTGGCATCAAATAATATGTACATAAGTGAATTTTCGGTAGGCGTCAAGTTAATTTTTAGGTTGTTTGTACTCTCAGAGGGGCGGAAGTGTTCTAGCAAAAATATATTGTACAAAATTTAGCAAATGTCAGCTGGCTAAAATGTTTTTTGCCTCGTTTAAGCTAAATCAGAAGCTAAGATGGCGGATATTGTGAGCATAAAAAAAATATACAAATAATAATATTTTTCACTTTAGCGAAGTTTTAGCATTACTTTATGGCATGAATTGTGGTTAGTGCGGTTTTACTTGTTTGTTATTAAATATATTTTTATGTTTTACAAATTGTTAAGCCTTTTTGAGCGTGTGTATAATACATAATGTATTTACATTTACGAAATTTGAATTATTTCTTGTATAAGTGCATATATATTAATGTTTTTTTTTTTTTGTTTGTTATTTACCAAGCAAATTTCTTTGAAAGTAAAAGTAGAATTCATAACAAAATCATGTGAGCAGTTAAAAAGTGAAAACAACAACGAAAATATGCATTACAAATAAAAAAAAAAAAGACAAATCTTGGTTAGAAATCTGTAAACAAGTAAAGCACCCATACCACTTACTAGGTTCATAAACTCCTTCGGGCGCTACAAAGTAAGCACGTTTTTTTTTTTTCGTTGGAGTTGTTTAAAAATATTTATATATTTTACAATGTAAAGGAGTCCATGGCGTACCAATTATTGTTTGTTTTTACATATTGGTTTCGGTATAAAAGGGAAGAAAATAAAAAAGAGAAAAAATAAAAATTTGATAAATATTTTCTTTTGAGGTAGGTAAAAGGGAATAATTGTGGGATATCAATTGAGTGAGGCAAGGTATTTTTACGCAATTGAAATTTTAAATTGATAGGTAAATAAATATAATATTAACATTAGGGGTGTTCTCATTTTTATATTGAAAAACTGAATTTTGCTACATTTCATAATTTTTTTAACGAAAACGCTTTTATCATCGATAATATAAATATTTTAGTAGAAAAAAGTAATTTAGTAGAAATATTAATTTAATATAGAATATATGAAATTAATTGAATACATAAGTATGTTATTGATATTCAAGTACTGTTATTATTACACTATCTTTCAACATTTCCTTGGCAAATCTGCGCACTTTTATTGAGCAATTATAACACTTAATTTTTTATGTATTTTCAATTTAAAAAAAAATTGTTTTAGAACACCCCTAATATATAGAATTATATAAACATATAATAGCAAAATAATTAACTGCTCCTTAATTTATAAACATGGAAAATATTTATTTACAAAATTACCAAAATATTTCTAATGATTAGAGCAAATTTTAGTCACAATTCGCCGATAGTTCAGTGTACAAGAAAAAAATATAATTTTTTTTTATATTAAGCAAACGAATTTTATAATATTCACATTTGGCAACAGATTAATTGATAAAAATTAATTTTTTTTTGCCAAATCGAGTAAAGTATCTGTTATTTACGTAAATTAGCACCATGACCGCTAACTACACTTTCCGTTATTCGTTGCTCAGCGGATGGCAATAAAATTATTTACAATTAAATTTTATTAAATCGATTTTTCTAACTAAATTATAGTCTAATTTTTTTCAAACACAAAACAAAACAAATTACTATGCAGTAGTTTGAAAGTAACATGAAAACCTTCACCAGATGACAGCATAAATTTATAAGTAAAGAATTACAAAAAATAAATATATAGGCAACAGATAATAACTAATATATTTTCGCTTAAGTTAACACAAAGTCTTCTTTAATTTGTAGATTTTCTTTCAATTATTGATTGTAGTCACATTTTTTTATTTACTTAGAAAAACTATCTACGAAGCAGTTAAATAAATAAGTATAATAAAAAAATGATATTTTAAAATTTTTTTAAAGTATTTAATCACATAAAACTTACATCTTCGTCCATCGGTAATAATCTGTTCACAGTCATTGAGTGTTTGCGTAATCGGGCAACGATACAGCGCGCCGGTTTGATTTGTACCAGGCTGAAGATTTTTATCTAAAGGAGCACCAACTAATAGCCTGTAAGTAAAGGAAAGAATGAAGATAAGTTAAATAATAATTGTATTAAGTAAATATATTTAAAAAAATTTAATTTAATTGTAATATTTATTTGTAAAATCTGAAGAGTGCGTTAAGAAAATGTAAGTTTAAGAAAAAATTAACGAGAACCTGGTGTAAAAATGAAAAAATTAATTTTTTTCTCATATTTCACTGCGTTATACCTTTAAAAATAATAAAATTATAAGTCCATGTCTCAAATAGTTTTTGAGTTACAGCCTTGTAAAGTGTAGCCGCTCAGTAAAATCAGCTCCATCAGTTTATCTTTAAGCACGTTTTTCTCAATTTTAAAAATTTACTTGAGTGATTACTGAGAGACAAACGACTCGCTGAACGGAATCAAACTGTTTCTGCATGTTCTGCATATAGTGTTCCTGCCAGTTTTATGATCGACAGGCCAAAAACGATCAAAATTTTGGATAAAATTAATTTTTTTGTGTTAAAAACGCCCGCATTTGGTCAATTTTTGATTTTTTTCGATCGTAGGTCATTGTACGGAGAATTCCGGAATTACTCCCAGCAGGATTTTTTTTTTTCCATCGGAGATCGAGTGTAACTCAAAAAAAATTATTTTTTTTTTCAAAAAATTTACTGTGTATTTTTAAAATATATACAAATATATCCTTAAAATTTTTAAATAATTGATACCATATGTCCACGAATTGCCACTTTTAGGTGTGCCCTTTATGGTCACTAAATTGAAATAAACGGTTTTTTGTAGAGGCATAGAGTTTCCTAGAGAGACAGCTGTTAAACTATTTGTCCAAGTAAACACATCCGTCCACACATTATATTCTGTATTCCTGGCAAATTATCATGGAAGAGTTTACATTGGAAAATTGTTGAAAAAATATTCGAAAGATATTTTAAAAACTCACATTCTATGTAAATAACCTAAAAAATAATTCTTCTTTAAAATGCTAAGCGTTAGAGATTAATGTGTAAATACTTCTAAATTCTCCAAATCAGCATCAATAGTCTAAGTTCTAAACAGTTTCAGCAAGGTAATATAACAAGTCTTATAGCGAGTGAAACCTGCAGTTAATTAGAACGAAATTTCGACTCTGAGATCATACGATTTGAATTCGTTAAACTACATTTCATGTAGGTTCACATACCATACAAATGCCTATACTGAAGGCTGACCTGGACTCTGACACTCGGAGCGTTATCAGCACGAAAATCCTAAGGCTATGTTCGAAAAAGTGCTTCAAAATTAAAACAGTTCTTGCTTCGGCAGAACATATATTAAATAAAAAAAAACGAATGGGTATATGGTGTTCGTAAAACGTAAAAATTCTGTTTAAATAGTTAGAGTGGAGAACTCATTAGTTTTTCTTTAAAAATACAAAAAGTTACTAGTATTTCTGCTAAAAGCTTAAAACCTTTCCAGGCATCAAAACATATTTGAAATCACCGAATAGATATTTTGGGATGACTTTCACTTGTCACAGAATATTCAGTTACTATTATTGGTATATTTTTCCAAATTTTTTGATTTTCTCAACCATTTGTCATTATTATTACCACTATCTAATTCTAAAATTGCGGGTAAATCGGCACAGAATTCCATTCATTGTCAATACCAACACACTTAACATAATCAACAGATTTTCAACCGCACCTACCAACAGAGCGTATTATCTGTTATAATCTGATCATTAACGTATCATTGACAAATTTGTTTTAAGGAAAAAGAAACTTTAAAGCAACAAATGATAATCGAATTGGTTTTCTTAGTACTTTAATACTGATTCCGAACTCACTAAGCTGATTAATCGAAAAGTGTTAATGTTGTGTTAATTAAATGAGATGCATTTATTAGCATATTAAAACGTATGTAGGTATATAGAATATAAATAAGCAATATTTTTGTAAAAAAAAAAATTATTACACATGTTAAGTAATTTTAACCACTAAAAATCTATAATATGCTCGTATAAAGTTGTTGAACAGGTTTGTTCTCGCTTTTCAATTAGCTGGGAAATTTAATCTGATTCTTATAGAGATATTGTTGTAGGCACAGGTATGCATGTATGTGTGTCTATTTGTTTGTCAACACTCATTGCTTGAGAAGTGGCAAGTAAATAGTTGATTCATATTATTTTTATCGCCGCAATGTGTCAGGTGAATGAACAGCATAATAACAGATACCTGATAGCAGGACGAGAAGTAGATAATTTTACGCATTTATACAGATAATAGTTTATATCACAGTACAACAATATATACACAATAAATAAATACATATGCAATAGTAGGTGCAACTGATTGGTAATGGTAGTGAAGCGTAAAATTGTGAGTTTTCCGCTAGACGCACGCAGTGGTTATACTATTTGTGGATCTATTATGCGTCAGTGGTGCTGAATTATTGCACTAAACATTCTATTTTTATAACCTGCACAAGATATATTAAGTTTGCCACGATGTTTGTTACACCCGAAGGAAAAGCCGGAGACCATATAAAATATATCCGTCTATCTGTATATAGGCGAACTCATAGCTCAGTTTTTGAAATATCGATCTGAAAATTTTCACATGTTCTTTTGTCGAACCACTATAGCATATAGCTACCATACAAACTAACTGATCGAAATGAAGTTTGTGTATGAAAAACTTTTGAAACTTTTAAGGGTATTATAGCTCTGTTATAACCAGAGTTAGCGTATTTTCATGTTTTTATTTAATTTCTATTAAAATAAAATAAAATTAAAGCTTCTTGAATATTGCTGTTAATTTACGGTGATTTTTAAAGAAATATATTTGACTTCAGGAAACTGTTTTAAATAAAAATAGAAACAGTTTAAAATGTTGGCTTTTGAAGTTTTTTTTATAGCTGTTTGTATGACATTTATTTTATTACACATTTTTCTAGATTTAAAAAAAGATTTTTTTTTTTAAATCTTTTTCCGTTTATGCCATATTACTTTTTTATAATGTTTCAATTATAAGTGCTTTTATTACTTTTTCATTTTATTTTGTGTAATTTTCTTTTATTTTCAGAGTTCTGTTTTCCTTTTTCTCTTATTATATTTATAATAATTATTTTTTTCAGTGCAGCTTTGAGTTGATTGACAGTCTGCTATGCTGCATTTGTCAAATTTAATTTTTTTGTTGATTTTCAGTAAACATTAAATATGACACTTAATGCGCCGAACTAAGCGGCAACATACATATGCCATACATACGAATATAGATATTAGAGCATATAAGCCCACAGACACATATGTATACCTAAATATATACATACATATTTCTAAACTAACACTATCTATTAAACAATTTCGTCATTACTTTAGACGTTCCACGCAACTATAACACTTGGCCTACAGTCAATGTCCGATAGGCTCGGCAACATTATTTTTTATGTGTCTGTGTTGAGGTGTCTATGCTTGCTGAAGCTACGGTAGAAATTAACATTATGACGGTATGAAAAACTCATATGGACGTTAGAAGAAAAATTAAAAAAAAGGGAAAAGTACATAAAGAATTATGGAAAATGAAATCTGATAATTGTATACATACTCTTACATGTTCTATATATATATATATATGTATGTATATGTATATGCATTTATAATTTTTTTACCTTGTTCTCGCAATTTTTTTCAGTCGGAGGCAATTCATGTGCTAAGCAGTTCTTGTTAAGCCAATAAACTCATTAAGGGCACACACGGGCACATACATACACATAGTGCATATTTATGTATATATAAATAAACTAATTAAAATGCACTACATAAATATGTTTATTTATACGAGTATGTGCACCACTTTCAACTTTTACCAGTACCCACCCTTTTGCACTAAACGTTCAATGTCATCAAAGCACTTTGAGTGCTGCAGCTGCCGCCCAATAAACGTATTTGTTGTTTTAATGATCTCAAGTGGCTGAAAAGGCAATTACAAATTATGAATGGCAATCGTTACAAATTGGTTTGGGGGTCTCTTGACATAATATCCACAAAAGCAATAAAAGTGCAACACTTAGCTGCACAAAATTGGCCCCCTCTCCGGTGGAGTTCGCCATTCACCACAACAAAGGCACTGTATTTTTTCTTATACCAATGGCAAGGTAGCCAGAGGGGGAGCAGAGTAATGCTCATTTGGCTGATTTGTGGTTTCTGCATTCTGTTAAATTCTTAAATTCTTAAGTGTTGTATGTTATGTTTATGGTGATCGGCATAATTCGTGGGTTGCATTTTTGTATGGTTGTTCTTTTGAGTTGAGCTGAGTATTTGAGTAATTAAACTTTAAGCCGTTAAACAGCTGCTTTTTTGGGGGAGTTCAACCACATTTTTGCTTTCATTTCATTTGTTTTAATAATCGACCTTAATATTTGGAATGTTCACTTGCCTTTGTTCAAGTGGATATTTATGTTAATGCCATAAATGTGAGTGACACTTAAGTGATGCCTATTGGTGGGTTGGAAAATTGAAGGGTTCTGGTAAAATGGAATTTTATTAAATATTTATGGAATCAGCAGTCAGTTGAGTGAAGAGCATGCATTTTTGATATTTCAAAAGGGTGAGCACTCTAACGTATTTGTGGATAATCTTATTATTTTACATAATTGAAGCAGTATTTCAAAAATTGCAGTAGTTCTTAATAATGTGGGATCTATGCAATCAGTCAATACAATCACGAAAGGTATGTATGAGAATAACTAGGGGAAATATTGGTCTCTGTACGAATTAATTAATACTATACCATCTGATTAATGTTTACCCAGACGTGTTCATTTCAACTACGCAGCCAAACCTAATCGATAAAACAAAAGTTTCCTGTTGATTTTTAACACGAAAAAAAAACAATTAAACAACGAGTTTGCTTGACATTTTATGTTTCCACTAGATTTACGGCTACAGAATCGTTGAAAATGTTACAGAAGTGTTAGAGGAGTCTTCTTAAAGACGAGCACAAATATTTGAGTGGCACAAAGCATTCAGTGAAGGTCGTGA